TAGTATGTTTATAATTAAGACAGTAACTCGTTAGATGGGTTTAGAACAGTTCTGGAAGACCTTTAGCAGGTGTGGTTTGTCGAGTGTGGTTGCTTTGCTTAACGTTTCGCCTAAAATTTAAATAGCCTGGTTAGACCGGGGAGTTTTATATCGGTCTCGAATCAGTGTATCAATTCTTTGACTGAAATTTCTCAGGTTGAGCCAAAAGTCAGTGTGACGTTTACTTCCGTATCTCACCATTAAGTAGTCAATTGATTTAGCACTGTTGTGGAGATATGCTTTTCCGTCAGTGTACATTTCACGAATACGTCAATGAACCATATCTTCGGCTAATTTCAGCTAAGGCGGCTTACTATGTTCTTCAAGAAAATAAGCACTTCTAAGTACGTGCACGTAAAACAATAAGAGCCGGATAGGTTCCATTTTCACATTAGTTACGAGTTTATAATTAACTGACATTGCAGACGCAGGAGGCAAAATATGATTATTCTCTCTATCCGTATCTGTAAGGTATATGTGATGAGAAGAAACTTACTAGTTACAGTTTATCATACATTTTTAGTGTCTACCAGCTCGCAAATAAATTAATAAACGCGTTATGTCCACAATCCCCACATAAAATGTTATGTCTACAATGCACATTTAGTACCAGAAGAGGTATGTGGTATGGTTATTTCCGGCTAAACAAGTTTGAAATTCTCCAAGTCTCTTCTCCAGCGAAAAATCTGACATAGATATAATTGTCTCGCCTTAAAAAATCTGTCTCCTTTTCAGTGAACCACGTGCCCATGCCCCTTGCCCCCTTAAATGCTGGCCGCCCTCCCGTGTTCACCCTTGTCACTCGATTGTACACGACTGAATACTGTCCTCAGCACTTCGGTTCGGCTCGCTCGCTTGTTATTACCTTTACCCACAATGCTGTCGGCTCACCGCTGACGCCAGAGACAATCGTTTCGAATCCCGGAGATTAAATCCCTTGGAGTGACTTTGTGGCGGTGAGCCAGCTGTCCGTTGTCGTCTCCCTTCTTGACCCAGTTGTCGTGTGTACTCCAAGAACCATTCCTCCAGCCACCCCGCCGCTGACACTTTCATATTGCCTCTGTTCACGAACCCCCTCCCCCTCTTTCGCATTGGTATTTTAGACCCATCCTGATATCACATGAATTGCCTCCCGAAATCGTACAAGAGCAAAGCTACTCTATCCCAAGACTAATGTCGCACTGTGTGCTGTTGTTATTGAACTTGTGTTGTTCCCCTGTACAGAGTCAGACGATTTGGCTGACTCCCATCGCTCTTGACTGTGTGTATCCATTATTGAGCTTTGTATATGGATTATCCTTTACTATTTTTGCTTAAAATTACGGTGCTGTCTTGATGGTTGTTATCATCGGGTTTGACAAAGGCATGACTGCTGGATACACAGTCAAGAGGCGTCAAGAGACGTCAAAAGAGACGGACAAAGTATTTTGTCCCTTATAATTCAAACGTTCACCATTCATAAACTCTAGCGATTTTGAACAGCTTTTGGCGACTTCATAGATTGCCGTTCTTCTCTAGGACAATATATTTACAAAATGTGTCTGAACCAGGCCTGTTAAAGCCAACTTTTTATTAACCAGCCATTTATTTCATAGTTTGTAAAATGGCTCGATGGTTTTTAACGAAAATTAGGAGTTTTTAGATTTGGGCGTTGTTTAACACCTTCGACACGTGTCACAGGAAGCCCAAACAAGTTTTTATGCCAAAGCACTGCTGATCTTGTGGAGTAGGCAGGCTCATAGTCGCCTCTCCTGACTTTTGTTTTCCAAAAAGGTCGGAAACAGACGTACAGCAATGTGAGCCCTTGTTCCAGGCGTGTGCGAGTGCAGGTAATCACGGTGCAGCGGGAAGCGTTGCCGACTATTTTTGCTAAAACGCTGCCAATCATGTGGACTAAGCACGACTAGCGTCTCATTTCCTGACTTTTGTCTTCCTCGAGGGGCATAAAAATACTAATGTGGGCTATCATTCCAGCCAAGTGTGAAGATAGGGGACCATAAAAGGTGCTTTTAATCCGAAAACTGCCAATCATGTCTGCTTAGTTTTCTTAGGGTAACATGCACGTCTCGCCTCACTGACACGTTATAAATAGCGGGAGGATGTGTGCCTCTTGCAGAAATTCCCTTCGAAAATGTTTGCAGTGAAAATGTTGATCGCAATCTCCCTGGTTCTCCTTTGTAAGTCAAGTATATTTCACCTAGGATCTTTTTCATGTAAAATGTCCGACTGCTTTTATTGCTATTTTTTTCTATGATTGTTGGTGGTAGACTGTACTATCTCTTTCAGAGGTAATTATTAGTTGTTTCTATTTACAGATTCTGCTGAAGTTACAACCGGTATGTTGTTGACTGCGTAAATTAATGAAGTCACTTTTTTATTTGGCCCAATTGTGAGAAAAAAATCACGGCATTTGGCCAGTTTTTTATTTCCACTATATTTACGAGTCCTTTTCCTGAGTTTGTCTGAGTCACAGTTCAACTGCTAGCCTCATTTGAGGTATTTATTTGTATCTCAAATACAGTCCAGCAGAGGAGATTAATGAGTATTACATAGTTCATCAGTTCCGCTGAATACGTTAACCAGTATGGATCCTTTAGCGAAGAATCTCCAGCTAATTTACCGACTTGCTCCCCATTTTGCTTCTTTCTTTATTATATTGCATATAATGAACCAGTCAGTTAAAAGTAGTGACACTTTGTTGATCAGTTTAGAATTCAACTCCGCTTATTCTTCTACAGAATACTTTGACGGTCGACTATTCCAACAAAAATATTTTGCACTAAAACAATCTTTGAAACAATCTGATCAACCTCACTTGATTTCTTTTTTGTAATGCATGAAACCCATTAGCCAAGGAAGGTAGCCTCTGCGGAATGTTTGCTGGGGACTTTAAAAAATCTGCTGAGCCACAGACGCTCACATTCTACGCTGATTTTTATCCTTCTGTAAGTCTACCTATCCATGTACTTAATGTTTTGAAAAATGTCAGTCGCGTTTAAAATATATGAGGAGCTATACTAAAATATCTCCATCTTTCATAAATAATGACCTGAGCTATTTTACTATGACATTATGAAATTATTTTACACATGTTTTTCTGAGTTAATTTCGCCTGAAACAAATACATTCTGATAATAAAGTAATAAGAGAAAAATAATCGGACATAAATACGAATTTGAAACCGATCCTTTCATGCTTTTATTATTCGGTTGATTATGCGAAGTTTTATTAAATCGTTTTGGCATATAAAAGATCTAAGAGCCTCGTCATCCCATTTCTCACTTGCATTTGGCACAAGTATCGCCGTCACGATTTAAATTAGGAGAGAGAGGTTATTTAGTTTTTAACTTTCCATTTAGATTACAGTAAAGTAACCGTTTTATGTACTTGGAGTGTGGATTTAGATGTGTATGCTACATTTAAATTTGGTAAGTGAAACCAATAATGATCTAGTCTTATTTTTTTGTAGGAAGTAACGATTGGAGATAAAACAATTTACGTGAAGGAGGACACTTGCCCGTCAGAAATGGGGGATTATTCATGCAGTATTGTCAAGGGTACAGACTTATTCTTCCCACTAATATATTATCTAAGAACAAAGCATTGCATGGCTGAATTAGGCAGACGTTATGGCCACTTTTGGGCGTAGATTTGACACGCTAACCTTGTTTGAAATCGTTTTAATTTCATGTACAGTGCACGAGTCCGGATTCTGGCGTTTCAAAATTGACGGCATCGTGACGGCTAATGTTGACAGTATTTATTTATCTGCTTCTTCGAAAGAGATTCCTCCAGTCGCCATCCACGCTTACCTATATACTAGTAAACAAGCAGGTAAGTAAAACGCGGGCATATGCCTTACTTCTTCTGATATTTCAGTAAATGCCCGAAGCGCAAATTAGCAGTAAGAAAAAGGACATCAAACATTGGACAAACCACATTATCACATAACATTCTGTCTAACAATATTAAAAAAATTTCGTACACTAAGGTCTCAGTGTTGACGACTTCACACAGTTCGATCTTAAAAAGGCAAACAGTATTAAAACGCAGTACAACACAAAAGACCCAAAGTCATCACTCACTGTGATAGGGGTGAATATAACTGACCTTAGCTAGAGCATATATACGGTTAAACATCTATTAACCATAAGTTGAGACAATCATTGATTGCCCATCATTCATACATGATTTCTATCATTTCAGATAACATCGATCTATTGTTGACTAGACCGCTGGTACTATGTCCAGGATCCGCAGAAAAAGGCGCCAATGTTGAATTCATCTTCCATTCCGGGATTTTGACGGCTGACGTGAAGGTAAGAAATCAGATCGGATCCCGATCAGCGCTGGCTGAATGTAATAAATTAGAATTTGCGAGACATTAGATCAAATCAGTTATGGTCTTTTGACCCCAGTAAAAGTGGCCTGCCGGGTAGTAGTAACCATAAAAAATAATAAAGTTACCACAATGAAATCCAAGGTTGGTAATGTCGATAACAGTGGTACAAGCGGTGGTCTGCATATAGCAGACAAGTAATCTCTAAAAGACCCATGAATTCGAGGAACAACAGGAAAACAAAAGATACGCTGCTTTCGTTACCAATAAAAACTGCCCAACTGAAGCCGGATAGACAAATATGGCTTTTTAGACAGTGTTTAAATGGATATCTATATAAGAGGAGAACGCCGCCCGTCAGGACTTGGGCTGAATCATAAGGTTATGTCGGAATATGTTGCTAGATTCTCTGAATGGGATCTATTGTTTAACTATATAGAATTTAGTTACTATCAGCATTTTCTCTTTTATTATTTGCGAATAAATTCCTGACAGCAAAATTGGCTACTCCTGTTTTCATATACAGTCTATCACGCACCACACGTTTGTGAAACAGAGTATGCGTATGTGCTTAGAGAAAAAAGGTATTTATTGTCGGATAACAAACCCAATCCTATGCGGTGTTGACAATTCGGCTGTAATATTCAGTCTAGTAAAGAGGGCAAAATAATTGACTTGCCAGTTTTGGCTTCGTATCATTTTGCTACAGCGTTGACCAAAACTATACAGTTTGCGGGAATATATGTGTTTAGCTAGAACTCTGGCCTCTTCTATGGCTGCGGGTCAAATTTGCGAGATCTGTCCTAGATATTTTTTTAAAGCTCAGGCTAGTTATGACTGCCTAGAGAAACTTGTCATCTACTTTTCTCGTCACTGAACATATATATTAGGCATGAAAGGCATTTTGTAAACGCATTGTTTGCCAAATAATCAGAGGGACTCTTTATGTGTGAAACCTCACAATAAGAATCATCCATACATCCTTTGCAGACTTTTTTGTTTCGAGAAATTGCTACGTTTTTTTAAAAAAATGACTCCGAAACAAGCGTCAATATACAAAACAAACTCTGCGTCATTAGTAGTGCGCATGGTATAGTATTTTTGAACATCATGTAGGTGACATTCTACATGGACGGGCTTATCCAATGTTCAATTGGCAAAAATCAAGGAAAATCATGTGGTAAGTAACCATAAAACGCTTAGAACTGTGGTCTTGGCAAATTTTGCCTATTCATGATTGCATTTACTTCTGTAGACAATGTAAAGCATGAAGACTGGGAGTCGGTGGTGACGGTTCCCTTCAATGTGACACGATTTCAAATTCCAAGCAAGCGATACAGGATTGTGACTGCAGTTATAGAACATGAAACAAGAAAGAACATTGTCACGAAATTTGTCGACTTCGAGTCAAGTGAGTCCTCCGGGTTTGACTATAGTATGCGTTGAGAGAAACAAAATCATAAAGATTAGTCTAATGCATTTTTGGAACAAAGGAAAAACATCACTTAACAGGGCTTGGTGCAGAAATTGTCCAAGATAAACTTACATTGAAGAGCGGCAAACAGAATAGTAGGTTTTTAGTTTCCGCAATGT